TAATTGATGTTGATCATGTAATCTAATCGTTTTTTTTAACCTTTATTCAGTTTAATTCAAATCTTTACGTTTTTTGAAAAAAAAAGGATATTCATTGTTATTAAAACAAATGACTGTTTTATTCCATGAAAATCTCATTTATTACTGAATCACTCTTTTGTCGTTATCTTTGTTTTTTAAATCTTTATTCAGTTTAATTCAAAAACTTCACATTTTTTAAAGAATACAATTCTATTTACTCGAAAAAAATTAATTAGTAAAAAAAAAAAATTATACATATCCCGACCTTTGTTCCTTATTTTCAGATTTTTAAATTTGAATCTTTTATTAACCTCTTGATTCAGTGGAATCAGGTATGAGTGTTTTGTTATTAGAAAAAACTTCTGTTTTATTCCATGAAAATCTCATTTATAACTACTAAATCACTCTTTTGTCGTCATCTCTGTTTTTTAAATAATTGATGTTGATCATGTAATCTAATCGTTTTTTTAACCTTTATTTAGTTTAATTCAAATCTTTACATTTTTTGAAAAAAAAAAGGATATTCATTGTTATTAAAACAAATGACTGTTTTATTCCATGAAAATCTCATTTATAACTACTGAATCACTCTTTTGTCGTTATCTTTGTTTTTTACATCTTTATTCAGTTTAATTCAAAAACTTCACATTTTTAAAAAAATACAATTCTATTTACTCGAAAAAAAATTAATTAGTAAAAATAAATAAATTATACATATCCCGACCTTTGTTCCTTATTTTCAGATTTTTAAATTTGAATCTTTTATTAACCTCTTGATTCAGTGGAATCGGGTATGAGTGTTTTGTTATTAAAACAAATTACTGTTTTATTCCCGGAAAATCTCATTTATAACTACTGAATCACTCTTTTGTCGTTATCTTTGTTTTTTAAATCTTTATTCAGTTTAATTCAAAAACTTCATATTTTTTAAAGAATACAATTCTATTTACTCGAAAAAAAATTAATTAGTAAAAAAACAAATTTATACATATCCCGACCTTTGTTCCTTATTTTCAGATTTTTAAATTTGAATCTTTTATTAACCTCTTGATTCAGTGGAATCAGGTATGAGTGTTTTGTTATTAGAAAAAACTTCTGTTTTATTCATGAAAATCTCATTTATAACTACTAAATCACTCTTTTGTCGTCATCTTTGTTTTTTAAATAATTGATGTTGATCATGTAATCTAATCTTTTTTTTTAACCTTTATTCAGTTTAATTCAAATCTTTACGTTTTTTGAAAAAAAAAAATGGGATATTCATTGTTATTGAAACAAATGACTGTTTTATTCCATGAAAATCTCATTTATAACTACTGAATCACTATTTTGTCGTTATCTTTGTTTTTTAAATCTTTATTCAGTTTAATTCAAAAACTTCACATTTTTTAAAGAATACAATTCTATTTACTCGAAAAAAAATTAATTAGGAAAAAAAAATTATACATATCCCGACCTTTGTTCCTTATTTTCAGATTTTTAAATTTGAATCTTTTATTAACCTCTTGATTCAGTGGAATCAGGTATGAGTGTTTTGTTATTAGAAAAAACTTCTATTTTATTCCATGAAAATCTCATTTATAACTACTAAATCACTCTTTTGTCTTCATCTTTGTTTTTTAAATAATTGATGTTGATCATGTAATCTAATCGTTTTTTTTAACCTTTATTCAGTTTAATTCAAATCCTTACGTTTTTTGAAAAAAAAAAGGGATATTCATTGTTATTAAAACAAATGACTGTTTTGTTCCATGAAAATCTCATTTATAACTACTGAATCACTCTTTTGTCGTTATCTTTGTTTTTTAAATCTTTATTCAGTTTAATTCAAAAACTTCACATTTTTTAAAGAAGACAATTCAAAAACTATAAATCACTCTCATTTATACAATTCCTGATACGCATTATTCTTCAACGTCGGTGATTGCTTCTCTGTTTTTTCTTCTTACACAAAATATGAGTTCAAAATATGATTTTCTGAAGGATGTTAATCCTGCCAAGGAAGACTGGAGGATTAAGGTGAAGGTGGTTCGGACTTGGAAAGTTCCTAACTTTCAGCGTAAAATTTTGGAGGACAATCTTGAAATGGTTTTATTGGATGAACAGGTTGTGTTTTGTGTTTTAAAAATCTTCCATCTTTGTTTTGATCATTTTAGTTAACGTTGTTGACATAAGTTGGCTCCATTCTTTTGTAGGGTGTTAGGATCCACGCCACTGTCAAAGGTACCTTGCAGGTGCGGAATAAAATCAACGAAGGAGAGTGCTATTTTATAAAAAAATTTGGAGTTGGATTCAATAGAGATGTGTTTAGGCCAACCAAGCATCAGTATCGTTTGTCTTTCAACTTGAGGACTGATGTTAAATCGATTGTTGTTTCTGATATTTGTGCGAGTGATTTTGATTTTGTTGATTATAACATCATTGAGAAAGAAACGTCTGACTCCCCTTATTTAGTCGGTAATAGATTCTTCCTCACTATTATCCTTTTTTTAATTATTGCGGGTTTTATTTTTTTCCCATACTCTTTGCTGCCTTTTTTTAATTTTTAAACGTCATTGGTTTATTCTGTATCATGACTATTTCCTTATTTTTAAACTCTTTGCGGTTATAGTTTTGTGTTTTTAATGTTTTGTCACGAGTAATCTTATTCTGTATCATTATTTTTTTCATTAACTGTGTTTTTTATGTTTCTGTATTCATTTTTTATTATTGCATAATTTTTTTCACAAATTCTTTGCTGCGTTTTTTTTGTAGACGTCATTGGTTTAATCTCAGGAATTGGGAAAGTTTGTGATCGTGTGGTTTCTGGTAGGAAGACAAAAATGGTGGTGTTGGAGCTTGACGACCTGAGGTACTTACAAATGTTTAGTTAAATGAATTATTTTTGTCCAGCTCTGTTAGCTTATATTTTACGCGTATTAACGTTGTCCAGCTCTGTTAGCTTATATTTTACTCTATTTTCTGCCTCCACCAATTCCATGTAAGATTATTGCTTGGGTTATCTCATTCAACAATGACTAACAATCCTTGATTTATTAATCTTTTTTAAACATACAACATTTCTCAAATGACCAGTAAACAGAATGAGTTTAGCTGCAACAGGTGCTCTCTTGATGATATAACTAACAATAGGTGAAAAGAAATTAACTTCAATGTCTATTTTTTTTTTTTTTGTACACTATTTTCTTTTGTAAATACATTCTCATATTCTAATGGTTGTACAACAACATATGAGTTTTATTATTATATCGGCACTAGCTTGCAATTAGATTTCCTTCTCTTATTCAACTGATAACTTTATTTAGATCACTATCCTTAGGAAAGTTGGCATTATAATGTTGGCACCTCATTTACATTTTTGGTATTGTGTAGAAAATCTATCTCCATTGACTCCCTCATGCGTTAGCAGGTAATTGACATCTGCTGTTTGATTGTTTAAATTTCATATTGAGCAGTTTTTTTAACTGCTTCATATGTTGTATAATATTTTTTTCCAACTAATCAGTATTTACACAAACACAAACCATTTGATATCCAATATTTCTTCCTCAATTGCTAGAGACTATCTTCATTCTCATCCCACACAAGGTAATCTTTTCAATAAGCTACCATTTTCTACAACACACGTTATTTTAATTTTGTGAAATAAAATGTAAAATTTATATTGGTTGCCGTTAAGTTTTTATTTTATTTTATTTTTTCTTAGAAAGCAAAAATGCTAGATCAAGGCGGAAAGGTATCATGTTCCAAAAGAAGACTTCTAAGCAATATGTCAAGATAAATAATATACCAAAGATGCTTGACTTGACAGGTAATTCGTCTTTGATTGATTTTACTACAACCATGAATTATAAGAGGATAATATATGTAATGTATTAACTATTTTTTCACTTACCATTATTTCGACTATATTATTTATTCCGCATTGGACTTTTTCATATAGGGATTGATGTGAACAGTGAGAATTCAGTGCTTTCAACCGTTACTGCGTTCAGTGATGAAAGCTATATATCACGGTATCATTATACCTGTGAATACTTTTTTGGGAACACTATGTTGTAATTAAATATTTTTACATGCACCTCCCTCGTTGACGTCATATAAATTCATTAAAGCCTTTTTTTTTATCTGTGACATACAATGTAGTTCCCCATATGATAACGGTACAAGTACGACTTCAGCTGATTTGGATCAACAAAGTGAGTTTAAACACATGTCACTGTTTGTATTGGATTTTTAAAATGCAAGCACGAATGCTTCTATACGAATGGTAACTGGAAAAAAATAATAGCAAATTAATTATTTTGAGCGTTGTTTATTCTCTAAATTTATTATTTCTAATTTTCCATTGTTTAATTGCAAATTAAATGTCTGAATGATAAATGTTATACTCACCGATTTTTTACATAGCATATTCAAGAATGGAATTCCTTTATAATATAAGATTTGCAGTTCCACCAGTACTGAAGATATGCTTGATCCTGAAATTATCCGATTATTGAAGGAGATGTTCGATAAGCACAACAGTATAGCTCTGTCTTTCAGGTACGCTAGAGACCGTTATAAGGAAGATGACTTTAATGGTGTAAAGTTGAGGCTTATTCGAAGGCGTGGTAGTGATGGAAGAGTTTATAATCTTCCGACAGCATCCGAAGTGGCAGCTTTTATTGTTGGAGATATAAACAGTGCTATGGGCGATAAGGATATATTATTGAAACACAAGATAGAGAGTATTGCAGCGCATCAATGTGAAGCATCCATTATATCTTGGCTTGCAGTATCCATTGTTATTTCCATACGGTGAAGACGGTTATCGTGATGATTTCCAGCGTACTGTATCCAGTGGTAGGAAAAATGCAAGAGCCATGATCAGCATGAAGGAATTTTTTTCGTTTAGACTTCAGATGCGATCTGGAGAATAAAAAATTCTACATCGATCAAGGAAACTTTTCTAACAATTTCTGGTTGATGCATACACTATGATTGAGTTTGAACGGCTTAATTTCATTCGATATAACCAGAGTCATCTGAGAGCTGAGTTGTACAAAAATATAAAACATTCATTAGATAGCGGTGAAGATGCAGCACTGAGCAATGGAAAATGTATCATTATACCTTCTTCATTCACAGGTGGACCTAGATATATGGCTGAAAATTGTAAAGATGCTTTCGCAATTTGCCGTTGGGCTGGATATCCTCTTCTTTTTATAACAATTACCTGCAATCCTAAGTGGCCAGAAATTACACGATTTGTTAGGGCCAGACAGCTGAACCCTGAAGATCGGCCTGATATTCTATGCAGAGTCTTCAAGTTCAAATTGGACCAGTTGCTACGTGATTTAAAAAAGGAAAATATTCTTGGCAGAGTCATTGCATGTAAGTATATTATAAACTTGATACTCTTTTTGTTAACTGGATTTTATACAAAAAAGTTTACGTCATGCATTGAATCTTTCTATAACGTTGTTGTATCCTTATTATTACTTATGTTATATTCTTTGAATGTAACAGATGTTTGTACAATCGAATTCCAAAAGCGCGGACTACCTCATGCTCATATTCTTCTATTCTTGAACCCTTCAAGCAAAGTTGAAAGTGCTCTTGATATTGATAAATTGATTTCAGCGGAGATACCTGACAAGGAAACGAATCCTACGCTGTTTATGGCTGTCACGAGTTACATGATACATGGTCCATGTGGTCCTGAATATTACAAATCTCCTTGCATGAAGGACGGACGGTGTTCAAAAATATTTCCAAAAAACTTCTGCTCCCGTACTTTTATTGACGATGATGGATTTCCTCATTATAAGAGAAGAAATGATGGGAGAGTTGTGAACAAAAATGGTGTTGAACTTGATAATCGTTATGTTGTGCCCTATAATGCACACCTTCTTTTAAAGTACCAGGATCATATCAACGTTGAATATACTTGCCAGAGAAGTGCCATTAAATATCTTTTTAAATACATCCACAAAGGGAATGACAGAGTGACAGCTGCCATAAATCATTCGGACGATGAAATAAAAATATTTTATGACTGCAGGTACTAAAAATAATCTTCATTGTGTTTTGCTTTCCTACAAAAATGGCACAATTTTTTTGCGAAATTATTAACTTAAATGTGCACCGATTTATTTATTTATGATAGGTATGTCTCCGCATGTGAAGCAGCTTGGAGAATATTTGGATTTGACATTCATTCGAGATATCCCCCTGTTCAGAGATTGCCATTTCACTTGCCTAATGAAAAGAACATTATTTTCAGTGATAATGATTCGTTGTATGATGTAAAGACAAGGGCGGAGTCTAGACTGTCAATTTTTGAGTCTTGGATGGATGCAAATAAAAAATATCTAGAAGGTAGGCATCTAACTTATGGAGAGTACCCGACTGAATTTGTTTTCAAAGAAAAAACGCATGAATGGAATCCGAGAAAAAAAGGATTTTCCATTGGAAGGATAAATCTCTGCCAATAATGGAGAATATTCATATCTTCGCACCTTGCTTAATTTTCAAAGAGGTTGCACCAGTTATGAAGATCTTAGAACGATCAATGGCGTGGTTTTTCCTACATTTAAGGATGCGTGCTATTCTTTAGGACTTCTGGATGATGACAATGAGTACATTGATGCAATTAAGGAGGCAAGTTCCTGGGGATCTGCTGCTTATCTTAGATGTCTGTTTGCTCTGTTGTTATTTGCCAACTCAATGAACAGACCTGAAAAAGTTTGGGAAGAGTGTTGGAAATTTTTATCTGACGACGTTGTTTATCGGCATAGGAAAAGAATAGGACGTCAAGGTACGTGTTATAATAATATTTCATACAATTTTTTTTTTGTTTAACCGAAATCAGCATATGCTGCCTTAGTACTTATTAGCTTTTTTTGCCCGTATTCAGCAAATGTTGCTTTAGTGCTTATTTTGTTTTTTTTTTTTTGCCCGCATTCAGCAAATGATGCTTTAGTACTTATTTCGCTCTCTTTTCTTTCTTCGATTACTTTATCTTTGTTAATTTTTTAATTTTTTTTTCCTTTGAATTTTATGCTTTGTCAGATGCAATTCTTATAGAAGAGTCTATAAAAAACATAACTCTTGAAGAAATTGATAAGGTACTGCAGACAATGAGAAATGCCTCTCTGATTATCCGTCAATGCCACGCATCAATAGTGAAACTTTGCTTGATATGCAAAATCAATTAGTGTTGGATGAATTAATGTATGACAGATTTGCTTTGGAAGAGGAGCATAAAAGACTATTTAATTCCCTCACTGATGAGCAGAAAGCTGTTTATGATAAAATTGTTTCAGCAGTTACGGCAGGTAATGGAGGGTTATTTTTCCTATACGGGTTCGGTGGTACAGGAAAAACATTTATTTGGAATACTCTTTCAGCATCTATTAGATCAAAAGCTGGAATCGTACTTAATGTTGCTTCTAGCGGAATTTCTTCCCTTCTGCTTCCTGGAGGACGAACAGCGCATTCTAGATTTCGTATTCCTATTCAAATCAATGAAGATTCAACGTGTAATATAAGGCCGAAATCTACTATAGCTGAGTTGTTGTCAAAAACAAAGTTAATCATTTGGGATGAAGCTCCAATGGTACATAGATTTTGCTTTGAGGCTCTGGATAGGACACTGAGAGATGTTCTTAGAATTTCTGATACAAGCTATGTTGATATGCCATTTGGTGGAAAAGTTGTTGTTCTAGGAGGTGACTTTCGGCAAATATTACCTGTCATTCCTCATGGCAGCAGACAAGATATAGTTCATGCAACCATCAATTCTTCTCATCTATGGTCCAATTGTCATTTATTAACTTTGACCAAGAACATGCGTCTTAATTCTAGAAGTAGCACTCACAATTTAGAGGAAATAAAAGAATTTTCTGAGTGGCTACTTAAAGTTGGGGATGGTAATCTTGGAGATGATGTTGATGGAGAATCTATTCTAACAATTCCAGATGAATTGTTGATTAGAGAATCGGAAGATCCGTTGTCGGATATGGTTAATTTTGTTTATCCGAATCTCTTGGATAATATTTTGGATCAGACCTTATTTAAAGAACGTGTTATTCTAACTCCTAAATTGTCCGATGTTGCTATGCTAAATGAGCACCTAATGTCTATGATTCCTGGTGAAGAAAGGACTTTTTTGAGTTCGGATAAAATTCTTAAGCAAGGTGGGACTTCCTCTGTTGAGGATGATGAAATCACCCCTGAGATCTTAAATACATTATCATGCTCAGGGATTCCTGATAATAAATTAATCTTGAAAGTTAAAGTTCCAGTAATGCTATTAAGAAATATTGATCAGTCGAGAGGTTTATGCAATGGCACGAGATTGCTTATTACAAAATTAGGGAATCATGTTGTTGAGGCAATTGTACTTACAGGAAGCAATATAGGGGAAACTATGTTAATCCCTAGAATGACGATGAGCCCATCGAGTCATACATTTCCTGTAAATTTCCAAAGAAGACAATTCCCCCTGATTGTATCGTTTGCCATGACTATTAACAAGAGTCAAGGACAATCACTTTCACATGTTGCAATTTATCTCCCTAAGCTTGTCTTCACTCATGGGCAATTATATGTGGCACTGTCTAGAGTAAAGAGTAAGCATGGATTGAAGATATTGATACTTGATGAAAATGGTTGCGTTACGAATAGTACCCTTAATATAGTTTACAAGGAAGTATTTCAAAGACTGCTATAGTATATTGGGTTCTTTCTTCAAAGATATAACTTCGTTGTATGGTACAGGTAAAGACAAAAAAAATGACTGTTTATTCGTGTCTCTTTTCCTTATCTATCTTCAAAGATATGACCTTTATTATCATATTTTCTTTCCTATTTTTAATGTAACAATGAATGACTGTTTTGTTATTTAAAAAAATGACTGTTTGGGACCTTTGAAATACTGACAAAATGAGTTCGGCCCGGAGGGCCGACCCACCATGCGAAACAAACCAATTTTTTTTCCTGTGCATCAGCACGGGTAATTCACTAGTTTTATTCTAAGCAAAGATTAGAGAGATGTTTGTGTGAACCTTTACTGTTTATGTAGCTTACTTGTTTTGTTTTGTTATCAATTCTGTTACACGGTTGTTAGGAGGCGTGGCATATAATGGAACCTGAAATGTGTAATGAGTTTTTTCATCAATTGAATATACAGTTCTTGCTTGTATTCTCTTTGTTCTCTCATTGTTCATCTTGTTCCTTCTCGAGATTTCCAATTAGGATCTGCAATCCTAACATTGGTGCTTTCATCTCTTCGGAGCTCAACAAGAAGTCAACATGCGTGTTCAAGATTTGGCTGATGAATTCGGTCAATTCCAGCTTTGCTTCGATCGTAGCTTGGAGGATTTGCAAGCTAGGGTTGAGCAACGGTTTACCGAACATCAGAATCAGTTCACCAATTTCAATTTGCAACTTCAGGAAATACATGCAGTGGTGGTAGGTACCAATGTTCATACACATGGTGCACACTCATCGGCTGGTACTGATTTGGGTGGCGCATCTCATCAACGTTTTGCTCCTGATGATCCTCGCTCCCTGATGAAGTCTATTCGCATGGAGTTACCTGTTTTCAATGGCACTGATCCCAATAGCTGGATTTTTTGTGCAGAACTTTATTTTGGGTTGCAACAGGTTCCTGAACCGTTAAAAGTCCGATTGGCGGGAATGCGCATGGAAGGTTTAGCAGGTCCTTGGTTTCAGTGGCTCTTCAATGGTGATTCGATTCAGTCTTGGGAACAACTGAAATTGGCAATTCGCCAGCGCTTTGGAGGTACAGCTTACACTGATTTGCGGGGTGTGTTCTCGAAATTGACTCAGGATGGGAGTTTGAATGACTACATTCAGAATTTTGAGGCCTTGATAAATCAGGTCACTGATTTTTCTGATGAAGTTCTTATGAGCTTCCTTGTTTCTGGATTGCTTCATGATCTTCGCCGAGCTATTCAACTGCATTCTCCTACGTCTCTTCACCAGGCAATGCAGCTAGCAATCACCTATGATGCTCATTTTGTGGAATTGCGGTCATCTTTTCAATCACCAGGGAGTAAGAAGAGCTTTGTTAAGAGCTCTTATACAGTGGAGCAACCAAAGCCTCTGACTGCTCTTTTGCCAAGTCAGAAACCTGTTTTACCTGCCTTACCATCCAATGCACCTTTCAAAAAGCTGAGTAATGAAGAACTGCGTAGGAGGAGGGAATTGGGGCTATGCTACACTTGTGATGACAAGTGAAATTCTCGTCATAAGTGTCCATCCAAAATGTTTTTAATGGTGGGGGATTTTGAAGACTTTGCTGATGAATCTGATGAGCAGATTGTGTGGCAGCCTGAGGTGGAGCCGAAGTAACACATGAAGCTGCCCTCCATTCCTTGAAAGGTGACAAGAATCCTCGAGCTCTTCAATTTCGAGTGAAATTTATAAGAACCTGCACCGTTAATTAAGGAAGTTAATTAATTAATTATGAGAAATTAGGAAATAATTCCATAATTGACCCTAATAATTATTATAAAGCTTAAATAATTATGGTAAGTGTTTTATCATGCTGAAAGTCGCTTTTCTGACGAAAAGTGCAGATACCGGTTCTGCTACTCCGTATAAATGCGTACCGATGAAGTATCCCGGAAAATTATGAAAAGTGTGTATATGTCACTAGAATAATATATAGGACTTGTAAAACAAGTTTCAAGTCAAAATAATGAGAACTGGTGCTAGAACTGATACTGGGTATGGAAAAGTGCGTACCGGAAAGGTGCTGCGAAAAATAAAATAAAAATATGAAAAATCTTAGAAAAATGAGTAGATTCAGAATCTTAAGTTTGGGATTAAAATGCTAAGCGTAGCTATTAGTGCTAATACTGTGTGTTTTAACTTAAACCGCCTATATATACTCATTTTTGCACAAAATCCTAGGCTTATTTCAGTTGCTGCGTGAACCTTGGAGGCTGACCAACTCCTCTTACTGTTCCATTGCCTTCCCTTCCCCATTTCTTGAGCCAAGGAGCCATTTCCTTCATGAAATCTTCTCCTAAACACTTGGTGTGAGTGAGAGTTACCATTGGGAGTGTGTTGCTGACCTTGTTGCTAAGTTTGGGTGTCTGTTTTGAGGGGTTTTGAGGGTTGTGTTCTTGAGCTTTGTTGAAGGAGCTCTTATTCTAGTATAGTTAGCTCCAAGGAGTGGCCTTTGGTGTGAAAGAACCTCTCTTGAACATCATTTTCGTGGGTTCTGTCTAGCTTGACGTTGGGAGCAGCAAGTGAGCTTAAATAGAACTTGTGGTTCTGTTTTGAAGCCCTTGGGTAAGCACCATCACTTTGATCATGAGTTTTAATGGGTAAAAGTGGAGTCTTGTCATGTTTAATGAGTGAAACAAGTAACCAACACGTATATGAACCTTTAGATGCTTAAAAACGTGTCCTTGGACGTTTAGAAGTGTTAAAAACACAACATTTAATGGATATCTTCGCGAAATGCAGAATCTGCATTCTGCCGTGAAATATCCGGATATTGATATCCGGATATGGGGTCTTGTGATATCTGAATATGGGATATCCGGATATGATATCCGGATATGGCCCGACAAATATTCGGATATTCTGGGTTTTCGAGAACAGTAACGGTACTGTTCATACAGAACTGAGTTTTGGGTTTGTAGACCCTAGATTGTGGAAGTTGAACTTCTGTAATGATTAAGTTAAGTCAGAATCAAGGGATTAAGGGCTTGGGGCTTTGTGAGAAGCCTTAAGACTTGGAACGCAAAGGAAAGGCGTTGTCTTTATATCGTATGCTTGTAGAGTATAGATATTGATGTTGTTATTGGTCTTAATAGATTGTGATTGTGCTGTGTGTGGACCTTGAGCTTGTGTGGACTCTTGGCTTGGATAGCTAGCTTGCAAGGTAAGCTTTCGTGTCCTCGGTTTAGCCATTGTTTGTTCCACCATGTCCCATGGGGGGATGGTTATATGCATGATGTGTTTTCATATATTGTTTTACTGAGATGCTATTGAACTGTTAAGTGCAAATGCTATACGATATGTATGTGGTGTTCCGCCTAGACAGGAAGCCATGGGGTGGTCCTGTGGGCGGGTACAGCATGGGCGTGTACTTATGTGGGTAATAGATGTATTCCTGCATTTCTCTTATCAGTAGAATAGTTATAACACACATGACATGAATATCTGTTGCATTGCACTGATTTTGGAACTGATATTAAATTAATGCTTTTAGAACTTATATTGCACATGTAAGTGAGCTTGGGGTGGAAGATCCTTGAGGACCCCTTGTCTTACTGAGATTTCTGTTTAGAGATCTCACCCCACCTTTGGGGCACCATTTCAGGTTCAGGTAATGCGGGGGTTGAGACCTCTAGCGGTAGGAGGCCAGAGCTTAGCTGATTGCATGCTATTATGATGATTTTGCTGGATGCTGACATTGCTTTATCTTTACTGTCATGTTATTTGATTTGAGACTGCTGTTGGGCGTTGTTGCATTATTTGGTGAGCATGGAGGTTGTCCATGCCATATTGACTTGACTTTATATTTTTAGTTGTTTCGAGTTGTATAATTGTATCAGGATTATGTCCGGACTACGTGTTGTAGATCCGTGACTTAGATACTCACTTATTTATTTATGAGGTATTTCAGTTAGCTGTCTATTTGCAATTTACATACAGGCAATATTTTGAAAATGAATTAGGTAATTCAACTTGGTAATGATAATGACGTCATAATTGAACAGAAAAAGATATTCCGCAAATTTTAATTAAGTGTGGCTTAATACGATGACATGTTAACAAACCGGGTTAACATGGGGTGTTGCATTTTATGGTATCAGAGTACTTTCTAGGGAAAAGCCTGTACATATTGCAATAACTTAGGATGTTTGGTTACGAGTATGTCTTGTGTGTTCTCTTTGTTGGATTTTGCTATGATAATGCATATGTGACCACATTGTGTGGGCCTGATCAACTCATCCTTTGTGTAACTTGTGCAGAGTCATGGTACTATCTAAGAGGAACCGTGAGACCACTGAGGATCAGTCGGATACTGTCCTGACTTCATTGGCTGAGATGCAGGCGGCTAGACTAGCCGATCAGGAGGCCACTAGATTGGCCAACCAGGCGATGATGGACGCCGTTCGAGAGGAAAACCGGAAGGCCACGGAAGACGTTCTTGAGGCAAACAGGCTGGCGAACATGACCATAATGAGGGTCATGTTGGAGGAGATGAGGGCTGGCCACAATGAGGGTCAGTTTCCTCCACCACCACCTCCACCTAGTCTTCAGGATGACAGCCAGAGTCATGTTGAGGGCACTGGTCAACTCACTGGGGTGATGGAACCCTATGTGGAGCCTGCTGAAGACCGTGATGTGATTGATCGCCGGCTTAAAACATAAAATTCCCCTACCTGAGTATTTACTTGAGTTATGGGAATTAAAACATAAAATTCCCCTGGTTGTTTGGAATATCCTGATGCAGTTCCAATCAGTGTTTCAGTTGCCAACAGGGTTGCCACCTTCCAGGAGCTATGATCATGCCATACATCTAGTCGAAGGAGCACAACCAGTCAATGTTCGACCATATAGGTATGCTCATCATCAGAAAGGAGAGATTGAGAAACAGGTTTCTGAGTTGTTGGCTTCTGGTTTCATCAAGGAGAGTAGGAGCCCCTTTTCCTCACCAGTATTGTTGGTAAAAAAACATGATAACTCTTGGAGGATGTGTATTGACTATAGGGCTTTGAACCATCTCACAGTCAAGGACCGTTTTCTAATCCCTACAATAGATGAGCAATTGGATGAGCTTAAATGAGCAAATATCTTCACCAAACTGGATTTGAGGAGTGGATATCACCAAATCTTGTTGATTCCAGAAGATACACCAAAAACTGCTTTTAGGACTCATGAGGGGCATTATGAGTTCTTGGTGATGCCTTTTGGCTAAACCAGTGTCCCTTCGACATTCCAGGCAGCCATGAATCACATGTTTAAGCCCTATCTTCGAAAGTTTATCATAGTGTTCTTTGATGATATCCTCATCTATAGTGGATCAATAGAGGATCATTATCATCACCTTATTCTAACCTTGAGTTTCTTGCAGTATAATCTGTTTATAGTTAAGCTTAGCAAATTCTCCTTTGCATTGACCGAAGTGGAGTATCTTGGCCATTTAGTCTCGGGTGGTGGTGTTAAAGTTGATCCCAAAATAATTGAAGCCATGCAACAATGGC